GGTAACAAAATTTAACTTTTAGCAATTTGTAACTTTACGATATTTGCACCACGTTGGTTCACTTTTTAGGTCCCCTTTGCTATAAGGGTTCTTATGAAAAGTGAGTATTTCTATATATAATTTACCACATTTTATGTTGAAACGCGATGAACAATTGGATTAGGCGAAGTGGTGTGGGGTATTTAATAGCTTGCCCTAGTATATCTTCTTAAACTTGTTTTAAAGGGTTAATGCAGTGTTCAATACAAAAACACACATGTTTCAGCGTAATCAGTATACTTATTTCTAAACGATATTTTCTGCAATAAAGCCTTGCTGTTGACAACAGAGAATAAATTCAATTCTGTGTGGAATTGCATTTCTATTTCGATTTTTTTTACATAGCAACATTCGTACTGCGAAATTTGTATCGAGAGTGGCAAAAAAGCCACTAATAAACTAATAAAAAATAACGCGAGGCCTGTTATTTTGAAAGTATTATTCTCAAATACCATCAAGAACCGAACGTATAACTTCCTAAAATATCATATTTACTCCAAAAACCTCAAATCACCGTGAGACGCTTTGAATTTAATGTGCGATATAGTCCGTAAATTTATTTCCTTAATCAATTCAAATTTGATATAAAAGCTACATTATACTGTTAATCCGATTATGCAAGCCCAGTTTCACGCAACATAACAGTTGTAATAAACCAATCGCGTGAAGTTTTCGTCAAATAATAGCAGTTGATTTTAATTCAGCTTTGTTGTATTCGATTTTCAAAAACTTGCACAAAAATCTAAGCACATTATCGACACAGAGCAAATTTTAAATATACTAAGGCGAAACCTTTCAGCCAGAAGAAAGTTTCCAAAAATTTCGAATAAGTATCGAGTAAAATTTCTGGATAACTCTTTGTCACTATATGCGTATGAGATTTTCATTTCATTTTTTATAAAGTTAGCATATGAGAAGTGTGATGTAATTTTATGATTTTACTTTACACATTTACATACGTATAGAAATAGAAATGCATACATATACATATGTCAATACACCAAAAATGTTGATTTGTCTTATTTTTACCGGCATTGAATTCTACCGTATATCGTATATCATGTTACATCGATGGAGGTTTCAAATAGTTAGTGCGAAATGTTTCCTATTTAAATTCTTATTTTTTTTTGTGCTGTTATCCATTGTAACAAAAATATGTAATATGGTTTAGATAATTTATAATTAGGTCGGATAAAGGAGATATAATTTTTGTAATATAAATGAAGACAAATAAAACAAAAAAAACGTTATGATTTCCCCCTTCAACCTTTCTTTCTATTTTTTTATATTATACATGCTTAGTCTAATATTATGTTTGTATTTTCACGTTAATAGCCCTAGAAACATTGCAATAAATCAACAAGCAGTACCTTCATTACCAAAAATTCCGTTGAAGGCACCAATGATCTTCATTTGTGCACGAAGTTAATATAGTACTTGCTTTACTTTGTATGTATACTTGCATCGCTATTTTCTTTATAACTGAATCTCCGGTAAGAGCTCTTAGTTATAAAACAATTAGTAATGAATATTTTTGTATTAAGAAGCATTATTGTTCAAAATTCACTTATCTTAAAACCAACAATAAAAACATGAGCTATGATGAAAATGAGCTATGTTATCTACAGCATCATCTTTTAGAATTATTCCGGAAGGTGAAAACTACCTCATCCAGTGAAATGGGCTAAGATTAGCAGTGAAAATTGGATTTTGTTTTTCTCCACATAAAATTGATTTTAATCATTGGTACTACTTCGTCCGTAAGACAAAATTGAAAATTGCACGGAAGGCAAACAATTCATACTTCAATTTATTAAAATTTAGTATCGTCCCAATAGGTAGAGAATTCAATGGACTGCATCCGCCTTATGCGACGTTCTTTGGCTAATCATGAAAAGAATAAATTTTATGACATCTGCCTAGTTCGAAGCCTTCTGTTGCTTTCTCGAACTACATGTTTAAAAATGCTGTACTTTATCCTTGTCTCATCTATACTTATGAAATGGTCTATAAATTTATTTCAAATAAATCAAAACAACTTATAATCCTATATCCGAGATTACTTGTTTCAGTCAACCAAGTCTTTCTATAAAATGATTATTTCGAATCATCTTCACATTTTTATCTTGATATATTAAGGACGTCGGCGGCATCTCTCTTATATCATCTCAAATATTTTTCTCTAGAGTTGTTTGAAGTGTTATTGTAACTAAACCTATAAAACCTACAGTCGAAATCATATTTTTTACACAAAATTTAAACTCATTGAACTGTAAGTGATTGTTTAAAAAAAAAAACAATGTTTCAAGGATTTCGGAATTTTTTTAATGCGTGGAATATACAGAAGCTTTTAACTATGGCCAATAATAGCATATTGCATCTAAGGACGCTGTACACGTGTTGTAGACAAATGCATCAAAAAATCTTCCAATCTATTTAAAGTCATATGAGCCTCTGATATATCTATGTCATATTGATACGTTACAATATACAAAATGTTAATATAGCTTATATTAGTACTGTTTATGTACCAATGTATTTTAATATTTACGTATATATTATTTATGTACAAAAATCGAAAATTTCTTTTTAATCGTTTGATTTTTCTATTTGTATTTTGTCTACCGAATTTTTTTATAACGTTTTTTGTCAAACTTGTTCAACTTGGTGGAATTTCAATATATATCAAGAGATATCTAAGGACTTACAGCTAGTGTGAAATCGAAATTTTGTAAATAAAACCACACCAGTTTATTAGAGAAAAATAAAAGAACTATGACTGGGTGATATAAATGGACGTACATAAGCGAATCGTCAAGGCGTTAGCTTTGCCGTCCTATATGTTTATGATTTCGCCTAAGCACTAAAATCTAGACATACTGCAAGCCCGCAACAAAATAGCTTTAATAAAGTCCTACGGAAAACCTACGGAAGACAAGATTTGAAAATAATAGAAAAGATAAGCGTAACGTAATGAAAATAATATAAGAGATGAATACTACAATTCACCAATATGTGCTTAAAATATGTATAAAAATATTTTTGGATCTGAAGGTTCAACCAGTCGTCAAAGTTTAAAGTGCGGAGACATCCTTTACATAATAATAAAAAGCTTAGTCTTATAAATTTGTATTATGTAAAGAAAAAGCACTGTTTTTACTTTAATTAATTCTAAAAAAGATACGTCATGTTAGAAACAACTAAAGGTGGTAAGTGCGCACATCTAATACGGCCATGTAATAGGTGATTGCATGTATTTCGATCAACTACATATATTGGGGGAAGTGCTAAAGTTTGACGAAGTGTTAATGGGTAAATTTGATGATTTTGACCTTTCTCCACATAAAATAACAGTTTTTCATTTAGCATTGTTGAGTTATTCAGTCCATCATATCCCAATTGTCGGTTTTGCTTTTACCGGATTAAAAATTGTGATTTTCATGCCAGTGACAAAGAGGCCTGGAGGACCAGCAAGTTCAAAAAAAAAAGGATTTGCAAGACTAATTGGACGAAAACCCACCTCAAACTCTCAAAGAACTTTCGAACAGTTTAGCAGTTTATTGATCAACTGTTTGCAGACGTTTACAGGCGATGGGAAAGATCCACAAGGAGAGAAGATAGCTACCACACAAAATGACTGAAAATGTCGTTGCATGCAAAAGGAGAAGAGTTTTCTGTGGAGTATTGTGACTGGCAATGAAAAATGGATCTACTACGGCAGTCTCAAGCGCAAATGTCATGGGTTACTCCAATGGGGCTACATACATCGGCACGGAAACGGAGTCTTCATAGTCATAAAGTTCGGCCCAATGGTGGGTTATGAGCTGCTAGAAACGAATGAAATTGTTTTTGCAGATGTTTACCGATGTCAATTGAACAAATTGAACGATGTATGGTTGCAAAAAGAAAACAGCAATAATAGTTAACAAACACAAAGTTCTTATCTTGCATGACAACGCTCGTCCACACGTTACAAGGGCTGTCAAGTGTACGCTGTTGCATCTCGAATGGGAAGTTCTGTCGCAACCAGCGTACTCACCACACAAAGCGCCTTCTGATTGCAACTTATTCAGATCGATGCAGTATGACTTCACTGACACGCAATTTCGAAATACTGAAGAAGTGCGAAAATGGATCGATGATTGCATCGCTGTCAAATCAATAACATTCTTTCGGCACGTTGACATCATCTTGACCGAAAGATGGGAAAAAGTTGTAGAAAATCATGGAAAATATTTTGGTTAATATATATTATACCAATTTTTCTCAGTAAATGTCTTTTTCAAGTGAAAAAATGACGAAAATACATGCAAGCGCCTAACAGTTTAAAATCAAATATGTATAGTCTATCAACAAATATCAAACCAAATTTTAAAGTCATTTACGTTTTCCACGCGATCCTTGTTTATGTCTATTCCACCCAAGGCATGAGCCCTTTTTTGAAAATTGTTGGAATTATGACAGTTATTTAAGAAAAACATATGTTAATAATATTTAAGCTGCTTAAATATGTTAAGTAGTTCTTTTTTCTCATGAGCAATGGGTATGGTTTATGTGGCTCGCAACGTCCTCTTCTTGCTTCAGAGCACCTCAGTGAAGACAAAATATTGGGAAATTATGGCTTAGACAACGAAAATTCAAATTGTGTGTTTCCATAATTGCTGCTATTGCTAACATTAGCTAATGAGAACTTTTCCTTCAGGGTTCCAAGCGTGAATACCTTGCCATATACAATTTGTTTATTTTTTAATGGTTAAAAGCTTAAAGAGAAATTAACAAATATGGAAATATTTCACGTTTTTCTTCCTTAAATCATAAAATATCAAATAAAACAATAACTAAAGTAATAAAGTAAGTAAAAAAATTAAAAATCCACAATTAAAAACAAAAGAATTAATGAATAAATATTTAAGAGATAATATAGTTTGGAAATGAAATAAAGAATCAAAGAACTGACTTACTTGAGTTTGCAACCGCGTAAGCCCACGAATCCATAGTATTTGGCCCGCCCGCGGCTTCTTGTCAGAGTCAATTGAATCGAATCGTTCTTCGCCCAAGTTCATAGCATTTGTATACTCTTCCGGGTGACCACGCCCCCATCTGCAATGAAAATAAAAATGTACTCTTGTACCAAATTTAACATTATATATTGTTTCTTTATTGGAATTCTGCACAAATTAGAGAAATTGTGTTGAAACTTTTAAGTGGTGCAAGTGCGCTTATTTTCCTACGTATGGAACAGGTCATAAATACCGGAAATTTTATAAATTTTTAAGTTACGTTTATAATACTATGTATACGATATGTGTTAGCAATCTGCCACCATGATGCGTGATTGCGTTAGGCCGAACATACAATGAAACTTCTTGTATATTCCCATGTCTAGGGGACAAATTAAAGGCTCAACTAGTTGACATAATAAGAGCCGAGCTTGTCTGACTTACATCATATTATATGAAAAAATAAACAAATCTAAACAACTAATAAAAGGTTTGAGTAACAAGAAGTACAATATCAATAATTACAATAGCAAAATCTTTGTGAAAAGATATAAGTTTTTAGAAATTGATTAACAAAAAAAAAATTTTTTTTTAAAATGAGTTTAAGAAAACACGTGGTGGTTGGCTTCCCTAGCGAAGTTAAACATAGCAACATAAAAACGATACAAAGAAAAGAAGTTGGGTTTAGAAAACAACTTTTAAATTAAACCGCCTTTGTACTTTTTTTATAATTTTTTAAATAATATTGCATACCATAATTTGAAATTTCATATAATGCAATATTATATAGAAGCAAGTGAGGATATTATATTGTGGTAAGATGGACTAATGATAGCCCACACCACTTCGCCGAACACAGCGTAATAGAAAAGGATATTTTTGACCTTATAATCAAAGTCAGAGACTTTTGTGTAACCAGTCCCATGATGGGCGCAACTTTTGTATAACGAAATAATATATTATGTTTATATAGTGAAAAGGTCAGACGATCGGAGGTTGTAACGAATAAACGTACGTTTCATTGTAAAAGTAACCAGTTCGGTAACATTCGGTAGCAACAAACAATTCACAGACTGTTATACTTAAGAAACACACGCGCAGAAGCCTACTTATTTAGATATGATACACCTTGCCCTACGTACGGTCTCCTTTTAGTAAGTTTCAAGGAGTGCAGTTTGTATCATTTATTGATAATAGTAAAAAAAAAAACGTCGTAGTTCTCTTCTCTTTTGTAAATTGGTATAAAATTTTTGCTTGCTTGCATAGTTTTCTTATGCTAGTTACAACCACTTCGGCATATAGCAGCCTTTTTACGAGAAGAGTTCATGGTACTTCTTTTTTTCTCACATGTAATGTTAATATTGAATATGTTTATAAATTATATGAAGAATTTTTTGTTATTTTACTATTCACCTATCTATTTTTGGATTAACTTGAGGTATTTGTCAATATTTTCTTATTAGAATACAGTATTTACTTAGTGCTTAGTACAAAGGAATGGCCCAAAAGTGGATCGATCCAAACTATTTTCAACAGCGTTCATCCTTGTAAAATCATGTAAAAAATTTCATCAAAATATTTCAAAAGTGGCGATCTACAGCTTGAAGACAAATTTACATGGACAAACATCAAACAAACAGTGAGACGGACAGGCAGGCTCAGTTCGATTCACAAAATGGTTCAAATCGCTTGATATAATAAAATGCGTCTATCTTATCTATAAAAAGGTATAATTTTCAATACTTCATGATAAAAAGTAGTTCGTAATAACAAATTGTCATAGAAATCAACCTTACCGAATTTAGACCACGTATTTTTTGGATATCATCGCATATAAGTGCTCCTCCAATATTCGGACTTTCATAAAAAGTATACCATTTTGCATGAAAATCATGGGTGAATTATTACTAAAACGAATGCACTTTATTGGAAGTAGTGTTCTTGTTTCCTGAATCATTTTCTAAATCGATCGATATAATAAAAAGTGGGTCCGTCTTAAGTCCTTCCGGTTGTTAAAACCGTTCGCATAAAGACAATATTCTATGCACCACGAGCTGCGTAGGGAACACAAATTTTTGCGAAAATCATTATTTTCGATTAAATGACCAGACATTAAAGCTGCCTCATTTTGTTGAAAGCATGCACAACATAGTTTAAAATAGTTATTAAAATCAGATTGGATTTGATGTTTTAAGACATGTTATCATAAGATATATTTAAGTTATGAAAATAGAGATTACCAAAATATTAAACGATGAAAATAGATCGAACTTCAAATACTATTTTTAAATATGTAGCAGACTTAAAAAAAAATATTTTGACAAAAGTTTTGGGACGGGTGGAAAAGTAATAGAATAATAAGCATATATTTAAGTATTAAAATAAATAATTTTTTGATAGAATTAAAAAAATAGCAACACCAGAGCCTCCTCGCGGGGTGGTTTTATTGAAAGAGCAAATTTGTGTCTAAAAAAATCATTTAATTTACATGGGTATACCTAGAGAAGGACGGAAGATTTTTTAGAATTATTGATTCTCGTGCGATTAGGGAGTATTTGAATGAAAAACTTCAATATTTTAACGAAAAAACAAAATCAAGCTAAGATTTAGGTTAACTTTTCACATATTCTAAAAAATTGTGCTTCGACAAAAGCGCTTTTGAAGGTTTGATATGTGTTACATTGTTTTTTTTTATTAGAATGAATTTTTTTTGCAATTAGTTTGCAATCCCAAGAACACAAAAATGTCGTCCTATGTATAAATATTCAACCTCATTTTTTTCCCGAATACTTTTTGGAAAAACTCGCCAATGGCAAAATCATCGGTTTTACGTGTTGGCTGAGAAAACAGAAAGCTAGCACTGGGAAATTTTTGTTTGAAAATGTTTTCAAATGAACATAGAAATCTTCCAAGGACATCTGCTGGCGTATTAGAAAACTTAGAGATCAAGTTCAAAGTTTCGTAAGCAAAACTGCTTTGATGTGATGAACTTTTTTTCTTCTTCCCTAAAAATTTGCAATAGCGTTACCTCCCAGTTCCCCATTTTCTGGTCTCATGTTTCCTTTCCTCCAGTCAGTTGTTTAAACTTTCTACTCGGTTTCTTGCGTTATGTAATATATATTGTATGTGGTTTGATCAACGACGTCCATTGGTGAAAATGATAAAGTAATGCGAAGTGTTTCAGAAGCCCATTGAACACTGTTACAAGCTTACGGGGATGCAACTCCACCATATTCCAATCGTCAATTTTGGTTTCAACGGTGTAAAAGCGGTGATTTTCATGTCGGTGACAAAGAACGGCAGAATGACCAAAAAAGGTCGAAGACAACGAATTACCAAGACTTATTGAACGAAAACCCACATTAAACTCTCAGAGAACTTTCGAACCGTTTGGCAGTTAATAAATAAACAGTTTGTAGACGTTTACAGGTGATGGGAAAGGTGCAAAACATTCATGGCTATGAATGTTTTGCTTTACACATTGAGGGATCAGCAATGTATGGGGTATGACGGCTACTAAAACCGAATTAAACTCTTACTACAGATGTCTATCGACGTTAATTGAACAAATTGAATAATCTATTGCTGCAAAAAAAAGACAAGCAATAGCGGTAAACTCATCCACTTGCATGACAACGCTTGGCCCCACGTTACAAGAGTTATCAAGGATACATTGTTGCAGCTTAAATAGGAATTTCCGCCGTGTACTCATCATCAGGTATAGCGCTTTCTAATTGCCCCTTCTTCAGATCCATGCAGTATGGTTTAGATGGCAAGCGGTTTCGAAATGAATAGAATTGTTGTTAGTTACACAATCATGTAAAGGCACAACAAAAGCTTTCGCAACTACCAATCCAAGTTCAGAATCGTTATTTGCAATAAACTCGGGAAAAACGTTACAGTTTTACTGTTCGTTTAAATCAACAAAACAAAGGAAAATTTGTGAAAAAAAGAAAATAAAAAGCTTACAGGAATGGTAGAATAACAAAACTAAAAAATTTTCAAGGATTACAAAATGTTTAATAAAATTATTAAATTTCAAACGAATTCCGGTACTTGTATACCACATATAAATATAAAAACCTCTATAAATATCACTTTGCCTAAATTATACGCTTCAAAAAGTTTTCTATTAGTTGTTTACAAAAGTTTTGATCATTTCTTCACTTCAAAAAGGCATTCATTGAAAAAAATTGGTGCAATGAATATTAATCAAAATAGTTTAATGATTTTCTACATCTTACGATATTTTTGGCAACATGACGGCACAATCTTGAAAGAACTTGCGAAGAACTGGTTTGGCAGCAATCCACCCACCGACCCATTTTCACACTTCTGCAACTCTGTGGTAATAACAGGCGCCATGTCTGGTCAGTACGCTGTAAATGACACAACTTCCCATTTTAGCTGCAAGAGCGTATCCTGCACAACTCTTGCAGCAAGTGACCAAATGGCATTTTCAGTTAATTTGAGAGGTAAGGCGTTACTTATCTTTTGGACCTCTCCCATCGTATGTAAACGTCTAGACACAGTTGATTCGTCAATAGTTAAGCTGCTCGAAAATTCTTCGAGAGTTTGTGCTGGGTTTTCTGCCAATAAGTCTTGCAATCCGTGGGTCTGGAACTTTTTTTGTCCTCCAGTTCATTTTTTGTCATTGATGTGAAAACGCCTACTACTTAAACCGTTAAACCAAAACTGATAATTGGGATATGACAGCTTCTGAGCTTGTTTGATGGGTTTCGGCAGCGGATATAATTAAATCAAGCAATAACAAAAATGAATGTCGAAGATGCAATTTTGAGGGTTCTATGGCTAGCGCCGGCGTAAGCTGAATAAATCAATAATATTAAACGAAAAAAATTTTATTTTATTTAGAGAAAGGTCAAAACTATCGAATTCAATCGTTATGTACACTAGTATTTCCTATTTCTTCACCGTTTTTGCCTGCAGAAGTTGCTGATCACATTTTTTCAAACCACCCACTATACGTGGGTCAAGTCAAAGTCGAATTTTCATTGTTGATGAAGTAAAAGCGGAAATGCAATGCAGAAAAATGACCAAGTTAGTTACTTTAATAATCGTCGATTCGAAAGAAACGTA